CTGTATCACCCGGGGAAGGCCAATGTAGTGGCCGATGCTTTGAGCCGGAAGTCGGTGAGTATGGGAAGTTTGGCATACATTCCAGTTGAGGAGAGGCCATTTGCAGTTGATGTTCAGGCCTTGGCCAACCGATTTGTGAGATTAGATATTTCAGAGCCCAGTCGAGTGTTAGCTTGTGTGGTTTCTCGGTCTTCCTTGTATGACCGCATCAGGGAGTGCCGGTATGATGATCCGCATTTGCTCGTCCTTAAGGACAGGGTTCAACATGATGATGCCAGGGATGTGACCATTGGAGATGATGGTGTGTTGAGGATGCAGGGCCGGATTTGCGTGCCCAAGGTAAATGGGCTTCGGGAGTTGATATTAGAGGAGGCCCATAGCTCGCGGTATTCCATTCATCCGGGTGCCGCGAAGATGTATCGGGATCTTAGACAGCACTATTGGTGGCGGAGGATGAAGAGAGATATTGTGGAGTATGTAGCTCGGTGTCTTAATTGTCAGCAGGTGAAATATGAGCATCAGAGACCGGGTGGCTTACATCAGCAGATGGTTATTCCTGAGTGGAAGTGGGAGAGGATCACTATGAATTTTGTTACCGGACTCCCACGAACTCTGAAGAAATTTGATGCTATTTGGGTGATTGTAGACAGGCTGACCAAGTCCGTGCACTTCATTCCGGTTTTTACTACTTATCTTCAGAGCGGCTGGCAGAGATTTATATTCGGGAGATAGTTCGATTGCATGGTGTCGCAGTTTCCATTATATCAGATCGGGGCACTCAGTTCACCTCTCAGTTTTGGCAGGCAGTTCAACTAGAGTTGGGTACTCAGGTGCAGTCACAGCTTTTCACCCTCAGACGGACGGGCAGTCCGAACGCACCATTCAGATATTGGAGGATATGTTACGTGCCTGTGTTATTGATTTTGGAGGGTCATGGGATCGGTTTCTACCGCTTGCAGAGTTTGCCTACAACAATAGCTATCAGTCCAACATTCAGATGGCACCGTATGAGGCCTTATATGGGAGGCGGTGTAGATCTCCAGTGGGTTGGTTCGATCCCGGTGAGGCTAGATTGTTGGGGACAGATTTGGTTCAGGATGCATTGAAGAAGGTGAAGGTGATTCAGGAGAGACTCCG